GCTGTCCTGGAACTCGCTCTGTAGACCAGGCTGGCCTTAAACTCACAGAGATCCGCCTGCCTCTGCCTCCTGAGTGCTGGGATTAAAGGCGTGAGCCACCAACGCCTGGCCAAATTTAAATCTTAACAAGAAACAAAGAAAAGCACAGTGCACTTCCTAGGGCACAGACCTCCTCAGTCAATGGGGGCAGCATACACTTGAGTGAGGAAAGTCCTGTGTAAAAAATCAGTACCTGTCTGACTAGCTAATTAATGATGACCAACATCTACTAGATTTTTATAGATACTTTTTAATTCATGCAATAATGCAACTCATAAAGGACCAAGAGTGTATTTGAGAGGAAGAACAAGCAATAGGCAGTGCCCAGCTGACTGCCCAGCCCACTGTTCTTGCAACATAATCATTAAGCTTTTCCTTCTTAGAAAGAGGATCAGTGAGTTGAGATTTGTGTCTGCCAGAAAACTAAACAAATACAGTGTTGCTATAGTCCAACACTGGTGTTGCTAGGACTAGACAAGAGAGTAAGGCTCTGTGGTGAAGCTTAAATGAACCCATGTGAAGGTTGACTGATTTCCATGCACAGCTTGACATGCATGACCGCTCCTACACAGCAAGAGTAATGTAATAGTTTTTAATAATGAAAAGAGATAGTATGGGACTGAGGGCACGGCTTAGCTAAAGTGCATACTTAGCATATCTAAGGGTCTAGGCTGAATTCTCAGTGCTATAAGAAGAGAGGCTTGATTCATAAAAATGTGAAGATTTACTAAATATCAGTAACTGAAATCAATCTAAGAGGGTGGCTGGGTGGTTCAGTGTGTAAAGCATTTCCATACTTTGCTAAGGGTCTGAGTTCAAATCTCCAGAACCCATGAAAAACTGGGTGAGACAGAACACATCTGTGATTCCCAAATACCTACTACACAGAGACAGCCAGAGACATGCTATCCCTGGGAGCTCATGGGCGTCTAGCCTGGCAGATGCAAAGTAAACAAAGAGACCCTGTCTCAGGGTGGAAAGGGAGGACCAGCTCATGGTTGTTATCTGACCTCCACAGGAGCACTACGGCAAAGTGTGTGCCCCTGGCATGGGTGCACACACTTGTACAACACACACATCATACATACACAAAGATTAAAACCATTAAAGAAATAAAATGAAAACATAATGATTGTCACTTTTCAACCATAAGATTAGCAACCTTTTAAATGTTTGCCAGTATCCACTTTGGGAGAACTTGCAAGGAATTGGCCTTTTCTATTCTGGTAAATGGCAAAATTCCAAAAATATGTTAACATGTTACAACCAGTGGGATAGACATTATCACAATAAAAGAAAATAAGTGTAAGTAAGGTGTGGAGGCCCTGGGTTCAGTGAGACCTTGACTAACATAAATAAAGAGCAGGTATACGTATATACATACATACATACATACATGCATACATATGTACACACACACATATATACACACAGTGTATACACACATTTGAAATTTATCTGAAAATAGTGAATTGTAAAGCATTTTACAAGGGTTTACATTTTGAAATGTTACCAATATTGATCTGTATCTAAGTGTAAAGCAATGGATAGCACTTGTGAAAATGCGTGTGTACAATAGGGGCCACTGTATTTCTCTACCCCATGTCTTACTATGTGACCTCCAGTGTACAGAGAAGTGTATTGTGTTAGAGCCTCAAATCTAAAAACGAAGCCTATTTTTTCCCGTTACAGATAGTTTTCACTGTTCCAGCTGCTGCAGTTTGTTCTGGCATACTAGGTTTTAAAATGGTTATCCTTAGCCTTAGTGAAATATGGGAATGGATTTAGTATAGTATATAATTCATTCTAGTTTCAGTTTCTAGAAATATGCCATAATAGTTTGGTCTTCTAAAGGAATCTTTTGATGAATACCTTTTGAAAATACAAAAATATCAGTATCATCTTTTTAATTTCTTTGTAAGTGTGGACTTTTGATTTCTAAGTACAGAGATACTGAGATATTTTTCTAGTTCAAACTACAATATATTGTAGTAATTTGCTTTTTCTTAGAAGATAGGTATTTTCCCATATATTAATATCTTATTGCTTCAGTTGGATTTGTTATTTGGAGAAAGCAAAATTTTATTTAGATCAGTATTTCACAAAACTGTGGACCCATGACCAGTAGGACGCCTCCTAACCTTCAGTATCTTATTCTGATTCGAGCCACTGCTTGAGACCTGTAGGTAGTGACTAAACAGCTCATTCCCCTCAATGCCCTGGTTTGACTTAGTCCCACAGGGCACATGAGGAACTATAGCCATATTACTTCTAATAGCTGTGCAGATTGAAACATACAAGCAAAACCCCAAAACAAAACAGAATCCAAAGCCTGATGGCAAAGAGCTGTGGCTACCATGGTTTTGGGGTAAGTGTCTGAAAACTAACAAGGACCAAACAAGCTCCTTGGAAGTGTGTCTGAGCCTATATTTAAATTGTGTCCTATATTACCAAGAAGCATGAATGTAGTGCCTTATGTTTAGAATACTTAGGTTGGGGGCTGGAGAGCTGGCTCAGTGGTTAAGAGCATTTGCTGCTCTTCTGGGGACTGAGTTCCATTCCTAGCACACACTTCATATGGTGGCTCATAACTGGATGTGACTAGCTCCAGGGATATGACTCCCTCTTCTGGTTTCTGTGGGTATCTGCTCACAAGCAAGAGATAAAATACATCTAAAATACTAATATATGTGCGTGTGCATACGATTATTATCAGAATTGGGGAAGTATTGAATGAATTATCTTTCAAATGCTTTTAAGTTGTAAATGATTATAGACATGTACCTTGAGTGCTTCATTCGTGTGTGTGTGTGTGTGTGTGTGTGTGTGTATACATATCCGCTACCTATTAGCATGTTTTATGTAATTACTAACTTTACATTTTCCATGTTTTTAAACATATATATATATATATATATGTTATATTGTTTTAACTGGAGAATGCCCCTGTTCCTGAATTGAAGTGATATATACATTTAAGGATTATTTCAGGTCGGTCCTTCCCTTTTTTTTTTAAACAGGGAGGTCTTTAAATAAATAAATAAATTGTGATCTTTGTTATGAAGAACTCATTCTTGTGGCTATATTTAAAGTCTTGAAGCTTGTTTTAGCTCAGAAACCTGCCGCATATGTTGTAACTTAGGAAAATGGTGTCTCTAGAAGAGGCACAACTGTCCACGCGATGACATCTGCTTGGCCTGGCTTGCGTGTACTGTCTCAGCCAGTGCTGGAGAAGTGGTAGAAGGAAGTAGACGGGGCTTCTGCTTGTGTATTGAGCAGTAGAGGCTTCCTAACGGTAAGGCTACCGACTTCCTAAAGATACCCTTCTGAATTTTAGGCAAGACTAGTGTTTAAGCATGAGTCTCCCTCTCTGTAGCTAGATTTATAGTGTGAAAAGTCAGCTTCTTCTCAGCTAACAAATTAATCCAGTCCTCAATTACTTTCTAGATGTTTATGACTCCAGAGTGACAGAGGCATGGACGATACTTTAAGAAGGCTTATCTTCAATCAAACAAGTGTGAAATTTCTTAATTTATAGTAAAAGATGTGGTAGAAACTGGGTATTAGGAGTTATCCGCGATTATTTATTTACTCACAGACTCAGGTGAGAGTAATAATTGTGAGGGGTCAGGTGTGCCCTGAAATTTATCAGTCTTTTCTAGTGGTATGCTCGTGGGTTTTCCATACTTTCTGTTTGGATGACTTCCACATGGAGTTGATCTGCTTTCTAAGCTGAATAAGATGAATATATTAGTTAATTGACGAAACATTTCTAGAATTGGCAGTAGGTAACAGGTTTCTTGTGAGGTGTGCACGTCCTCTTAGATGCTTTACTGGGGACAAGTGAGGTAGTACTGACTTCCAGAGTGGCACAGTACAAGTCTGCACAAACAGCCTAAGGTATTCTGGAGAGACCTTAGTCAAAGGGGAAATGAAATTTGAATACAGATTTTTAAAGGAGATATTTTTGAATTTACAAATCCAATTTCTAACTAAAGTAACTTGAGGTAGAGGTTATTTGGGGGTAGAGATGGAATAGCTGATAAAGATTATATAAAAATGTTGAAGACATGTTACTCATGGCTGGGTATGGTGCCACAGGCTGTTAATCCCAGCACCTGGAGAGGCAGAGACAGGTTGTTCTCTGAGTTTCAGGCTAGTGAGGGCTATGTAATGAGACCTTGTCTCAAAACAATAAAAATTCAAAAACAACAAAAACAAAAACTAAAGGCTTTATTTTTTCTGGATGGAGTAAGAAAACATTTACTTTTTGTGCAGGCTAATTTTATGTCAACTTGACTCAGACTGTTTTGTTGTTGTTGTTGGTTTTTGTTGTTGTTTTGTTTTTTAAGACAGAGTTTCTCTGTGTGACAGCCTTGATGGTTCTGGAACTCACTTTAATGAAAACCAGGCTGGCCTCGAACTCACAGATATCTGCCTGCCTTTGTCTCCTGAGTGCTGGGATTAAAGATGTGCACCACCATGCTGAGCCCATTTTATTACTTAGTGATTGATGGGAGCGGGCTCCGCCCATTGTTGGTAGGGTCATCCCTGGGCTGGTGGCCCTGGGTTCTGTAAGAAAGCAGACTGAACGAGGAGCAAGCCTTTAAGCAGCACTCCTCCATGACCTCTGTATCAGCTCCTGCCTCCAGGTTCCTGCCCTGTTTGAGTTCCTCTCTTGACTTCCTTCAGTGGTGCATTATGGATGTGGAAGTGTGGGCTAAATAACCCTTTCCTCCCCAGATTCCTTTTGGTCAGAGTTGTTTCATCATTGCAATCAATAGCAACCCGAAGACACTTTTTTATTCTACTCTAATGATTAGAAACATTAGTTTTCAGTGTGGTCTTCAGTGTTTTTTCTAACATAGAGCTGAACCAACAATCTATTTCATTTTGTGTTCTAGAGTATCTGCCAGGCAGTTTCTTAGCAAATCATTTTATCTGCTTGATTCTCTTTCTAGCTGTCGGAGGGAAGCCAGAGGCATGCAAACCTACAGAAGAGCATTGAGAAAGCTAGAATTGGGCGACAAGAGACAGTAAGTTTGTGTCTATAAGTTCTTTAATAATATAAATGTGTGTGTGTGCGCGTGTGTGTACGTGTGTGTGTGTATATCTGCATCCAGAAGTGTTTCCAGTGTGAGCATGAATTTTGTAAGTATCTAGGTTTTCCAATTTGCTGATACCCATAGTTACTCTGAAGCTTTTCCAGTTATGAACCCTCTCCTAGATACTGGGCAGTATTGAAAGCCCATAGCATGAACAAACTTACAACTTAAGGAAACAAATGCATCTGATTGTCCTGATTCATCAGTTGTGAGAGGCAACAGATTTGGTGACTGTATATACAAATTTTGACAGTTTCTAGAAAAATAAGGAAAATGATGATGCTGGTTGGTTGCTCCGAGCATCTGCTGATAAACTGACAAAGGAAAAAAATGTGCTCTGTGATAAAACTAACTTCTAGCATCTCAGAACACAGTGAAGGTCTAAGAGCTTAAGTTGCAGAAAATCAAAGCAAAGCCTTCTTTATAAGACTGGCTGGCTGGGCGTTGGTGGCGCACGCCTTTAATCCCAGCACTCAGGAGGCAGAGGCAGGCGGATCTCTGTGAGTTCGAGGCCAGGCTGGACCGACAGCCTCCAAAACAATACAGAGAAACCCTGTCTCGTAAATACCAAAAAAAAAAAAAAAAAAAAAAAAAGACTGGCTGAAGTCCTCAGAAAATTAGGTCCCAGCCTCTGGGGGTGTAAAGTAAGGACATTAATTGGTAAAGAATGGGATCCTGTAACTTGGGATGGAGTTGTGTGGGAGGACCCTATTGAGACTGAGAGCTCTCTCCACCCTCAGTAGAAGATGTACTCCCTCCCCACCCCTGAAATACTGCCTTTTCTGCCCTTGACTGAGGAAGTGAGTCCTTCCTTGTCTGCTAACCCAGTAGTGATTTCCCCTTAAGGAGATGCTAGGCAAGATGATACTGCTGTCCCCAGGGCCCACCAGTCTGGCCTGTATACCTATAACCAGACTTGAGGCTAACCGGGCTCCTAGAGGGGAGGTAGGAAGCATACTCCATGAGGTGGTGCACTGCAGTAAGAAAGAGCTCAGTGAGCTTGGCAATTCATTCACGCAGAAGTCTGGAGAATATGGGTGGAAATAGGTTTTAAGGGTGTAGGATAATGGTGGAAGGAGCATAAAACTGGATTGGGCTGAGTTTTTTGCTATAGGCTCACTGAGTGGAGATTGTAGGTGTAGTATAGAAGCTTGCTCAGTTAAAAAAAAGTGTCAAAAGTTTGAATGGTTGACTGAAGCATTTGTCAAGGCGACCTACTGAAAAGGAAGTTGGAGATGCTGATGTCCCTTGGCTTAGGGTTAATGAAGGGATTTTAAGACTCAGGGAAATTGCAATGCAAGGATGGGTGCACTGTTGAAACCTATCCTGCACTATGGGGAACGCAAGAAGACATGTCCTTCATAAATCCTGTAAACTGCAAATGGTAGAGGAGCACCGGCACATTTGAAGAGCTTTGTCTGCCCTTTCCTCTGTGCCTGACTTTAGGGTTGGGACACTGTTGGACAGTTGGATAAGTTAAATACAGTGGATTTAGTTGGGCCCAGAAGTAGCAGGGGCCAGGTAGCAGCTCTGAATTGCCAAAGGCAAGGTGATTATAGTTATCATAATGGGCAGCCCAGGCAAAATATTGTTTGTAATGGCCTGGCCCATAATTGGCAGCATTGGCGAAGTGAGCTCTATGGTGGTATGACTCAAATGGAGCTATGGTCCTAGCTAATCAATCATAGTGTTTTCAGATAAAAAGTATATTGCATTTTGTTTGATCTGTATAAGCAGAAAAATTCTCCAACAAATGAAAAAACAAAAACAAGGGTACATTGGATTATGGCAAAGGGGAATCGCAGCCTGTGAGTCAATTTCCAGATATGAGTCAGTTTGCAGACCTAGAACTCCTTGAATGAAGGCATGACCAGGTTCCCCTGGGGAAAGACCTTGATAAAATACCAGAGTCTTACTGTTGGCCTTTTTCCGGGCCTTCCCCAGAGGGGCCTATAGCCTTTTCCTGGGGTAACTATACACTGGGGAAATGAAACAATCAGAATTTCCGGGATCTATTGGATACTGGTTCTAAATTGACACTGAGTTTTTTGAGGGAGAGCCCAAGAAGCATTGTAGCCTTCTGGTTAAAGTTGGGGCCTTATGGAGGTCAGGTGATTAGTGGAGTTTTTGCTGAAGACCAACCCACAGGTCTGTTAGGTGCCTGAACTTATCCTGTAATTATTTCCCTAGTCCCAGAATGTGTAATGGGAAGGTACACGTAAAAGTTGGCAGAGTTCCTGCCTTGGTTCGCTGCCCTGTGGAGTGAGGGCTATTGTGGTTGGAAAGGCCAAATGGAAGCCTTTAGAGTTGCTTCTGAAAAAAGAAAAGAAATAGTGAATGAAATACAGTATCAAATCCCAGGGGGAATTGCAGAAATCAGTGCCACCAGCAAGGACTTGAAAGCTTCAGGGCGGTGGTTCCCACCACATGTCCTTTTAGCCCTCCTATTTGGCCAGGGCAGAAGACAGAAGGATCATGGACAGCTAACTATCGAGTGACTATTGGAAACTTAGCCAAGTAGTGACTCCAATTGCAGCTGCTATGCCAGAAACATTGTTCTTTCTTAAGCAGATTAGCTCATCTCTTTATGCTTGGTAAATATTTATTGATCTAGCAGATGCCTTTTCCTTGGTACCTGTCCATAAGGACCACCAGAAGAAATTTGTTTTCAGTTGGCAAGGCCAACAGTGTACCTTTACAGTTTTACCTCAAGATTATATTAAGCTCCCCAATACCATGTCATAACTTAGAAGGGGTTTTGATCATCTGTCTCTTCCACAAAATATCACACTGGTGCACTGTATTGACAACATTATGCTGATTGGACCAAGTGAGCAGGAGGTAGCAACCATTTGTACTTATTGGTAACACATATGTGCATCAGAGATTGAAAAATAAATCCAACCAAAATCCAAGAGCCTTCTACCTTGAAAGATTTAGTGAAATTTTTAGGAGTCCTGTGGTGTGGGGCATGATGATGCCCCACCACCAAGAAAGAAGCACAATGTTTAGTGGTCCTATTTGGATCCTGGGGATGGTACAGTCCTCACTTGGGGGTGTTACTCTGGCCCATATATCACACGACTGAAAGCTGCTAGTATTGAGTAGAGCCTGGAACAAGAGAAGACTTTTCAACAGGTCCAGGCTGCTATGAAGGCTGCTCTGTCACTTGGACCATATGATCCAGTAGACCTGATGGTACTTCAGGTATCATTAGCAGATAGGGATGTTGTTGTGAACCTTTAGCAGGCCCCTATAGGTTAATCACAGAAGAGACCTTTGGGATTTTGGAGCAAGGTTCTACTATTGTCTACAGACAACTATTCTCCCTTTGAGAGACAGCTCTCAGCCTTCTATTGGGTCTTAGTGGAAAGTGAATGTGTGACAATGGGCCACCAAGTTACCATGCGACCTGAGCTGCTTATCATGAGCAAGCCATAGAGTAGGATGTGCACACCAGCAATCCATTGTCAAATGGAAGTGGCATATATGTGGCCAGACCCAAGCAGGTCCTGAAGGCACAAGCAAGTTACATGAAGAAGTTGCCTAAATGCCTATGGCTTCTATTCCCATTACAATGCCATCTGCTGCCAAGCGTGCACCTACAGCTTCATGGGTGTGCCCCATAACTGAGAGAGAAGACTGGGGCCTGGTTTACAGATGGTTCTACACATTATGCTGACATCACCCAGAAGTGGACATTGGCAAAGGAAAATCATCGTAGTGGGCAGAACTTCTGGCAGTACACATGGCCATCCATTTTTGTTTGGAAGGAGAAATGACCAGATCTGCAGTTGTTCACTGATTCATGGGCTGTAGCCAGTGGATTGGCTGGATGGTCAGGGACTTAGAAAGAGTGTGATTAGAAAATTGGTGAGACATTCATACAACAAGGACGTCTGTTCCACTACATTCATAGAGCATTATTTGTAATAGCCAGAACCTGGAAGCAACCTAGCTGCCCCTCATCTGAAGAGTGGATACAGAAAATGTGGTACATTTACACAATGGAGTTCTATCAGCAGGAAAAAAAAAACAATGGAATCTTGAAATTTGCAAGCAGATGGATGGTACTAGAAGAAACCATTCTGAGTGAGGTAACCCAGTCACAAAAAGACAAACATGGTATGTACTCACTTATATATGGATTTTAGACATGGATCAGGGGAGTGCCAGCATACAATCCCACTGCCAGAGAGTCTGGGAAACAGAACCTTCATCTAGTGACTGATGCAAGCAGAGGCAGATACCCACAGACAAACACTGAACTGAATTCCTGGAATCTAGTGACAAAGAGGGAGGACTGATGAGCAAAGGGATCAAGACTGGGCTGGTTTAACTCACAGAAACAGCTGACCTGAACAAGGGGGGAGCTCTTCGACCCCACACTGAATGCTGGGAGGCCAGCATGGGACTGATCCAGATCCCCTGAATGTGGGTGTCAGTGAGGAGGCCTAGGCAATCTACGGGGCCTTGGGTAGTAGATCAATATTTATCCCTGGCATACAAGTGGACTTTGGGTGCCCACCCCACAATGAGAGATGCTGTCTCAGCCTGGACTCTTGGGGGGAGGGCCTAGACCCTGCCCTGAACAAAATGACAGTCTCGCCCTCCCTGGGGAGTGGAGTGGGGATTGGGTGGGGGGCTGGGAGGCCTGGTGGGGTGGGGGAGGAGGGGAGGGAGAGGGAGCTGGGATTGACATGTGAAACAAGCTTGTTTCTAATTTAAATTAAAAAAAAAAAAGAATTGGTGAGAAAGACGCCTGGGAAAGAAGCAGGCGGAAGATACTTGTGGCCCTTGTTGATGTTCACTAAAGGTAACTTCAGCAGAAGATGAATTGGATAAGCAAGTAGATTGGATGGCCTGTTCCGTTCTATAGACAACACCTTTCCTCAGACATTGCTCTGTGGGCCCATGAAAAAAGTGGCCGT